GCCAGTTGGGAAGCAGAAAGTTACCACTAAGTTTGGTGAGAAAATGTAGTTTTTGATCAGGTGAGGATTTGTAGGTAGTTTTCTGTCCCAGCTGTAACAAATTGCTACAAATCTAGTAGCTTAAAACAACAGACATTTATTACCTCACAGTTCTGTAGGTCACACTCTTTCTGGTCCTTGCACGTGGGCACTACATGGCAGAGCCAGTGACAGTGCCTCAACTCCGTATGTTGCCATATCCCTTTTTTTCTGCTCCATCTCTCTAACTGACTCTTCAACCTTCCTTTTCTACTTTGAAGGGCTCAAATTATTAATTTAGACCTACCAGCATAATTCACGATAATCTAGGACAGTCTTTCCATTTTAAGGTCCATAACATTAAAATCACAGATTCTGGGGATTAAGAGATGGAAATATTTGGCGGCTCATTATTCTGCCTACCACAGAATTTTTCTGTCTATACCACTAGTTCTCAACTATAGCTGTACATTAGAATCACCTGGAAAACATGAAAAAATGCTTATCCCTCGGCCACAATCAAGATGAACTGAATCTGAATTTCTTGGAGTAGAATCCAGGAATGATCTTTTTTCTTTAAAGGTGTCAGAAAATTACAATATGCTTAAGAGGGTTAAGAACACCCTAAAACACCAGGTTTCTTAAACTTGATTAAATTCATTTTGTAAGTAATCCACTCAAAACACACTTTCTGTATTTCTTTATGCCCCCACTCTGCTCCGGTTTGGAGTAACCAAGATGGATATGATGCAAGTCCTATTCTTACTGTGCTCACAATCTAGTGACACAAACAGACACACAAAGGAATAATTACAACATTACGTGATACATTTCAAAATAGATATTTGAAAAACTCGCTCTAGGAGTTCTGAGACATTAATTGTGCCTGGGAACATTGCAGAATATTTGGCTTGATTTATACTTGATAGTTCTTTTTCATATAGTCTGGCCAGTACCTAGACCCAGAGGAATGAATATAAGTGTGTCCAGGTTTCAGCATGGCCCAATGATGATGATGTCTTTATACTGTTCTTCCCAAAATTTAACAGGCCAAGAATTGCCCCCAGTGCTTACTAAAAATGCAGATTCCCAAGTTGATCTCCCGAAGATTCTGATTCAGAAGGTCTGTGGTGGGGTCTAGACATTCTAACATGTCCAGCAAGTTCTGGTGGTGATTCTGCTGCAGCGATCATGAAACCACACTTTGAGGAACACTGGTTTACACCACATCAGTGATTTGGTACCTGTTCACTCAATAGCCTAAAAAATAATGCAAGCCCCAAGTGATATTATAAAAAAAGACTTATAGTTGACTTTCTTACATCAGTAATGGATCTTTTGGAAAGAGAAGTCTCTTTGTATTTTAATTTTCTTACCACTTTGTGTATTGAAAGTGTTAGGGACATTCTAGGCCAAGATGGGAGTGGAGAATTAAAATCTTACACTGACATTTCTTTCTCGAAGACTCTATTGGAAGTAAAGACAGTAATCTGCAAGAAAATTCTAGCATAAAGTCTTAGGTTTTACCAAAAAATAAGCAGTGAGGAGAGACTAAAGGTAACCAGGATCTTCTACTTTGACGTTTTTCTCAGTGGCACAATCTATTCTCTATAGTGTAGAATGACAGCAAGAAGTTTCCATTTGCCATACAGGTGTGGAATATTGGGATTGAAGAGTGCTTATTCCTTATTTTGATTCAGGAGAAATGTAGTTTGTTTAATATGCCATAAAGGAAGGCATGTACTAGATAGGAAACGGCCTCACTTTGCTCACAAAAAGGTTAAGGATACTTCATGGCAAATTAGATATGTGTGGGAAATGCTTCTGTTAGCCAACTTTATAGTGACTGGATAAGCAAATGGAGAAAAGAATATGGCTCAGCACCTGTAAAATCCAAGATACTTTGGAAATGGAGGCTGGAGGATTGGAAGATGAAAGTTTTTTTTTTTCTTAATCTTGGAGTGAACATACACTTTTAATATTAGGGTTAGGTGACTCGACTAAAAATAAGAATTACTATAAAGAAAAATAAATTAATGGAAAGTGTGTATAGGAATAATAAAAATTTGGGAAAATAAGAAGCCAGTTTGTAAGGCATTGGTATGTATTTACAGAATTTACGTTTCTGTGCTCTGATAAACTAGTATTGATTAAGTCACACTGATTCATAATTTTTATGTAGCATAAAATACGCTTTTACACTGAAGTAAGCCAAGAAGATTGGTTGAACTTTATGAACTTGGAAATGCAGATCCGTGAAAAATGTCTTGTGGTGCAGATCGATGGTGATTTTAAGAAATGAAACAGGAAAGATATTACATAAAGCCCTGAGTGACTAGGAAGTTATATTTCAAGTTATTTGAGATTTTAAAACATTCTTCGTTTCTCAAAGTTATTTCTGTGATGAAATAAATTATTTTTATTTTATGTTGGCCGTTCTTTGGGCAAGAAGCATAAAATTATTTAGAAATAAGCTATTTTTTATTCCATGTGTACAGTAAATTATTTTGTTTCTAGTAGTAGAACGAAATCTTCCACTTTGTTTAACTTTGAGAAGTGAAAATAAATTAGTACTTAGCAGATCCATGAGGCCAGCAGTTAGAAAGAGAAAATGCCAGTAACTAATACTAGTACCATTGTGATTACAAATTCACTTCAGAGTTTAAATAGAGCTTTCTCAGTTTTGAAGAAGTCCTTTTCCTACTAAACAAACCTAAGCACACTAGGGAAAATCCACTGGCAGATTTATTCATTTAACTTGACCTCCTTTAATTATGTACTTGATCTCTCCTCAAAACTGAATGAGAACTACTACTATATTTCATGAGGCAACATGAGACTCAGTTATCAGTAAATAATTTAACAAGATCTGAAAGAGATTTACAATGATTTGCTTAACAGCTTTGGTCAGTTAATATCAAATGTACTTTAGCAAAGATAAATTTGGAATAAGCTAAATATAGAAGAGAGATCCATTTGCTGAATGAACATATCAGAGGTAGTTTGCAAAGAACCAATGAGCTGAACCAAGGAATACAATTAAATATAGTTCTGATAACAATCATGTCATTACATCTACCAATATGAGACTCAATCTAAACTTATCATCAGATGACTCTGCAATGGCATTATCTACCTGGCCAGTCATGGTCTCTCCATTATTGACCTAGAGAACTCTTGGTGAAAGAGGTGATTCATCCATGTTGGACCACTCACCACATGTGTCTGCTGGCAGAAAAATTTGATAGGTCCTTCAGAGAGAAGATGACTCAAGTGAATTGGATTGCCACATAAAATGGACATCTCCAGATCTCATGGAGAGTACAGGTGTCCACCATGTGTCTGAAAGACTGCCACCCAAACTTGCTGCTGCATCGTTGATAAAACCAGGGGCCATAGACCTGCCCCCTTGATTAGGAGTGCTACAAGTTTACACAGTGCAAATACAGAAAAACAGTGCTGGGGGCCGGCCCGGCAGCTCAAGTGGTTAAGTGCTCGAGCTCCACTTCGCCAGCTCGGGGTTCGAAGGTTCAGATCCTGGGCGCACACCAATGCACGGCTTGTCACACCACGCTGTGGCAGCGTGCCACATAAAGTAGAGGAAGATAGGCACTGATGTTAGCTCAGGGCCAATCTTTCTCGGCAAAAAAAAGAGGAGGATCAGCATCGGATGCTGGCTCAGGGCTGATCTTCCTCACAAAAAAAAAAAAAGAAAAAAGAAAACAACAGTGCTACTGTTCCTAGTAGCACATTTTCCCGATCACTTGGAAATAGTGTGAAGAAGGAAAACTAAGTGGAATTATTTGCATTGATAAATATTTCGTGAGTTGAATAAAGTCCTCTCAAATTATTGGTGCCAGGATGATCTAGTGAACACTAAGAGATATTTCACTAAGATATTTTTGGAACTCTGATTTTGAAGCCTATTAGATAAGCAACAAAGATAACTGCTGGTGTGGAGCAAAATGTTTTTCAAATATCTTGGGTTTGGGAAAACTCCAAACATGTTTTTTGAAGCACTTTCCCCTTCGATTTTTGAGCCCATGTACATATTAAAGGTAATTTAATCCTGACTCTTGTGTAATCAAAGAATTGTTTCATAAAAACTTATCTGAATTCCAAAGAGAATTAATATTTCCTTACATTCTTATTTGTATATTTCTGTATTATATATATTTAGTACAGAAAAATTTTGCTTAACTTTATGACTTCCAAAGTCAGTACAGTACACTACTGTTTATTCAATATCAAAACAACCAGAGAACTTGAAAACTGAAATAGTTTTCAAGTCTTTTATTTTGTAAGAAAGTAAATATGCTGATATAAGAAATTTTTTTCCAATTTTCATTGTCAGTATAGATTCAAAGACCATCTAAAGCCTCTGATAGAAGAAATGATAGTTAATTAATAGTTCTGATTAGCATTCTTGATTGTAAGTTTAAAATCCTAAAGTACTTTACTGGTTCATTTTTTTCGTTCATTTATACACCAAATGTAAATTAACTGCCAACCACAAAGGATACAAAGATCAATCAGACGTGGTTTCTGGCTTTGAGAAAGCATACCAGCAAGGGAAATAGATATATGGAACTAAGACTAATAACACATTCCAATAAATGATTAGATAAAGTTATTAAAAGGAAGATTAAACTATAGTTTAATTTAAAAGACTTTTTATCATATTCTAGTTCTTTGAAATTTACTTAAATAAAATATTCCACTAATTGCTTAGTATCTCAACCATCCTGGATAAATGAAAATTGATGTAAGTTTCTCCATATAATGGAAAACAACAAATATTTGTGATGAAACTCAAATATATTGTAAGCAAAAGAGATTTTTAAAAATTGGAATAGCTTAATAAAAATATCATTTTAAAAGTGATATTTTCATTGAAAATTTCAATTTTTGATGGACATGATTTTGGCTTATTAAAATACCATTAAATTATTACATCAATCAATATTTCAGGTCATGACCCTTGGATTTAAGAAATTCTTCAAGCCCATGTCAAATATGATCCAAGAGAAAATGTGATTTGCGTCTGGAGACAATCGTGCTTGTAAGTCTTGGAAAATTAGATTTTTTTCATAGTACAATGCAATAAAAACTAAAATATCAACTCATTAATTACTGAACTGCAAAAAATTTGATTCACTGTTTTGTTTCTGTTATGATTTTTTTTATATCTAAAATTAATACAATGCTTCTTGATTTTTTGGTTATATTTTTCTTAAGGTCAACTAGTAATAAAAGCCCAACATAGCTGATAGAAGAGAGAACATTATTTGGAAGATTGCTACAATTAAAAAGAAAAGCTGTTTCTAGGTGAGTCATTGGTGAGGGCAAGCAATGGCATAGATTCTACATGCTAGTCAATGGTGTGCTCTCATTGCATGTGATAATAAAAATATAAACAAAATAAGTGGAAAGGGTTTTTATAATTCTTATTTTAACATTTGCCCTATAATAAAAATCATGACAAGTTTCCTAACAAAATTAAATCTAAATGCATAATTCACTGACAAATATCTATTGATTGGAATTTTACCTCCTTTGAAAAATATTTTTTACACACTCTGTTAAATAAGTGATAATTTATAGCTCATAAGAATACTGTCAGAGTAGGTTGCTCATGAAACTTATAGGGAGTAAGCATTATACACTTTACCTCAGCAATATTTTTTATCTTAGAATTAAGAAGTTAGGGCGAGGTGTTTTAGAGGTTATTTTTCATTAGCTCAGAATTGTGTCTACCATTAGAAATATTTAACAGAAATACTTTTATTTGGTATTGTCCATCTCCCGTAAACTTATTTTAATAATGTAGATGACTTAGGGAATCTTTTATTTCCTGATTTAAAAAAACAATGGAATCCTGCAGTGAAAAATAATTTGTATTAAATTATAAGGCCATTTTTATGACATATGGATGTTGATTCCCAAGCAATTGGCCTGAGAACAATTTTCCCCACAAATTATTGAAGAGTCAGAAAGTTAAAAATGAGATTAATATTTACAGGAAATAAAGCTATGCTTTATAGTAAATATGCTCTCAAAATTTGGGCTTTTATGTTCTTGTGAAACTCTTTATTTTGATATTTTACTCTTTTTATCCCAATTTTGGTAAAAGCAAAGAATGCAAGATGTTTTCTAATTACTTTAAAATATATATGTAAGAAGCTTTCCTGTTTGTAAGGCTAATTTAATTAAATTAAAATGTATTTAATTCAGCTCTTTAGTACTTGAAGCCATGATGCTCTTTACATTTTAATACATAAGACTATTAATCAAATCCTTAAAGCACAATTATTGTGTAGTTTTAAAAGAAATTTTCCATTGAGAACCATCTATATTTATTTCATAAATACTGATGAATTATATTTCTTTCATTTTCTATTGCAGTTTGATTTATATTAAATAGCATATTTCATTTTGGCTTTAACGATGGAGAAAAAGTGTATCCTGTATTTTCTGTTTCTCTTGCCTTTTTTTATGGTAAGCATAAACTCCTCTAATGTATCTCCCTATCTATGATTATTTCTGTTTTAACTTCCAATATACCTGTAATTGATAAAGGCTAATGACAACAAAATGACATGTACATATCTGATGCATAAAGTAAGTATATTTTTATATCCAATCAATACAGCAATCATTTATTTCCTTTCGGTGTACACTTTTAGCCTTTTAATCCTACAGCAGGCACTATGGGATGGTGGGGCAGTGAGTGCGGGGGGTGGGTGTCAAAGTGAGGAAGGTCAACGGATACAAATGTGCAAGACACAAGAGGAAAGTAGTTATCAGAGTGGCTCTGAAAATATTTCAGAATTTTTCTGAAATATTTTCAACCAGACCTGTTGATTCTGAGTTAGATCTATTAAAAAAGCAGATTCCAACCTGTTGATTTTTCTCCCTTTCTGCCAACTCGTTGACTTATATTGATTGAAAAGCAATTCAGAACCATGCACTATATTTTAAGTTAATTTCCTCATCCATTCATTCAAACAAGTCTTAAGTGTCCATTTTCTGACAGGCATTGATGCTAGGTTTGGAGCAGGTGTGTCTGTGAGTGTGTGTGCTCACACCTGCCTCTGCATGTGTTTGGGGGGATGTGGGGCTGGAAGTGGAGGGGAGACTAAGGATGACTAAAAAGCAGTTGTTACACTGGAGGGGTCATATGCCTTTATACATTTAATTTTGTTTTTATTCACAAAAAATATTTTGTTCATATTTTTTCTCTGTCTCTCTCACATTAAAACAGTGGCTGCACTTTTATTTCATCACATGTATGAGAAACTGAGAGACATAAACTCATCTAATTCTGTGCCAGCAAATAATTTTCCTGTGGCGTTTCCAACCACGCAAACCCCACAAAGATTCAAACAAAGAAACTCAACGAAATATAGAAAACCTAAACGGGGAAAAGCAAGACTACATTCCTGTCAGCATTTGTATTTGAAAACATTCTCAAGTCTAAGAGCAGTCCAAATTCTGCACTTCTTAGATGTTATCTTAGGTAAATAGACTAGAATTCAAGAAACAGATCTCCTGTTTCTTCAGCGCACACCCTCTGTTGAGCATGCCAATGAGATGCACAGGCCAACCCTGGTTCCCTGTGGGTAATTCTGTAACAGATTACCAATCTGATTATTGTAATTTAAGAAATTGTTCCATTCCTCTTGAATTCATTCTGACAGCGTTCAAATCTGAATTTTGATTTTAAGGAAGAATAAAAATGATATTGATTTTATGCAATTCTGTAAACTTCTTGAGGACAAGAGAAAAAATATTAATTTTCTTGACATCGTAAATTTCCATTTATTACTTGTGTAGCACAACGGCTGCATAAATCCTTATTAGGAAATTGAAACCAAAGAATGAGAGAGTTAATGTTAAATGGCAGTCAGGTGATAGTAAAACTTAAGTGGTGTACACACTGAGGGCACATTACCATTTAGACTTTGCTAAATTCAGCGTCCTGCTAGAGAACAGAAAATCAAGAATAAGGGGACACAATAAGAGTAGAAAGATAACTACTTATGGAAAATAGTTAATAGAAATAATGCAAAAGTGAAGGAAAAGTAAAAGTTAAGAGAGATTTATACAGGCTTCATATTATAAAACAGGAAAAAAAACCACATGGAAATTAAAGTGGAAGTGAAGCTTAAAATAGTAAGAACATACATATCTATCTTGTCCAAAACCTGTCTTGATGTGCATACGATAAAAATTCCATTTACCCACATCACAAATGAACTTGTCATTATTTTGATTATCAAAATATAATGATAGGGCCAGCCCCGTGGCTTAGCGGTTAAGTGCTCTCGCTCCGCTGCTGGAGGCCCGGGTTCGGATCCCAGGCGCGCACCAACCCACCTCTTCTCCGGCCATGCTGAGGCCGCATCCCACATACAGCAAGGATGTGCAACTATGACATAACAACTATCTACTGGGGCTTTGGGGGAAAAAGAAAAAAAAAGGAGGAGGATTGGCAATAGATGTTAGCTCAGATCTGGTCTTCCTCAGCAAAAAAAAAGAGGAGGATTGGCATGGATGTTAGCTCAGGGCTGATCTTCCTCACACACACACACACACACACACACACACACACACACATAATGATAAAAATGGCAACAATTTTGAGCATTTACCTTGCACTAGATACTTCCCCTCTATTATCTTGATACTGTTTTATCTCATTTTACAAAAGAAAGCAGAGGCTTAGGGGGGTTAAATATCTTGCCTACATTCACAGAGCCGGTGAAAAAGTAGAGGTGGGTTTTGAATACAGCTCTGCCTGCGTGCCAGAACACATGTCCTGTAGCCGCCTCCCACAGGCTGCTGAGAGCCGACATTGACCGTGCTTCCCAACGCTGCCATTGGCAACTTCTTGTAGGTCGCTTGAAATTGGACATGGTGGGGATGTTTATACCATGGAAACTGGCAAATACTACAAATCTGGGATTTCCCCTCAGAGCCAGTTGACCATGCAGTACATCACTGCACTCACTGTTTTCTGTGATGACAGACAGCCTCCCACAGACATTCTCACAATTCTGAAGTTATATATTTTTTAATTCCTTAGATTCTTGTCATAGCAGAATCAGAAGAAGAGAGTCCTGATGAGTTAATTCAGCTGGGTGTTACTAGAAATAAAATCATGACAGCTCAATATGAATGTTACCAAAAAATTATGCAAGACCCTATTCAACAAATAGAAGGTAAACATGACTATTTAATTTTAAATGCATTTGATATATTTTTAAAAGAAAACTACCCCATTACATCATTATGGGTTCCTTCGGGCCATTACTAAAAATAGATTAGCTGCTAGTTTTTCTGGTATATGTGCAGTTTTAATGATTTATTTATGAAGAATATTTATGATATAATTTATCTTGCTCCTTTTAAAAAATTCTAATAAAAAATATGTGCAACAAGGATATTTTTAGTAACATTTTTATGGTACAAAGATATTTAAAATATCATATAAGTATGTGTCTTGAATTAAATCACTGACAGTTGATCTTCAGTTTATGAAATTTGTATTTCTTTTTCTCACAAGCTGCTTGATAGGAGCTTGTATAATAGACTGACAAACAATTTTTTTTTTGCCTAACATACTTTGCACGGGACCTTTGGTAGCAAAGCTAATGAAATCTAAGTGCTTCTGTTTCCATTAAGATATTTTTGTAACATTTATTGAGGGCCTACTAAGTGCCAGATATTTGCCTTGATTCTAGAGACACAAAGATGAGTAGCACAAGTAGAGTTGCCAGATTTAGGAAAAACCAAAAGCAGGCCACGTCTTTTATCTGCCAACCCCAAAGACAGGGTTATCTTCAAGATATAAAATGCAAAATTCACAGTGAAACAAAGCAAAATGTAAGGATTTTAGATATTTCTAAAGTTTTAACCTATCAGTGGCAACAAAGATCTTATAATTTGGGGAAAAATATGTGATAGTATAATATACAATGTTTCTTATATAAATTAAATATTAAATGTAGGTTATTATTAATATTTGTAACTGTCGAAATGAACTTGCTTGAGAAAGAGAAAAAAGTGATTTTTCTACCTTGGTTAACTTTTTTTTTAGAATCTTAATTTAACTGAGCAAGATAATTTGTTCATCTTTGGAGAAGTATTTAGATATATCTGTTCAAACATTTTTGCTATAAGATATTTTAGTTCAAAAATATCTTTAAAATATGCCAGACAATGACAAATTGTCTGATATTAGGACAATAGGGGTTGAATTATCAAATAATTACAAATTTATATACAAATACCGTGTTAACTGATCTGGCTTCTTACTTTATTTCATTAAAATCTAAGTGTTATTAGTTTAAAACTATTGAATTAACCCCTTCCAAATTATCTAGATATATGTAAAAGTAGGCTTCAAATCTAATTGTTGAACAATAGAAATATCTTTATGAGTTGCATAATAAAATAATTTTGTGATAAAATAAGTTTAGGATGACTGTATAATAACTCTTTCTCTTGGAGCTTCATAATGCTCTTTGTAACTTTAAATACTCTAGAATGTTTTGCAATAAAGCACTGTCTTTATTTTACCATTGTGTCTCCCAAATTTATTTGAAAGACAATTTTTTTAATGGAATATCTACTTATGTCTCACTCAAATGCCATACAACACAGTTTGAAAGATTCTGGACCTTGCAATCTGTCATGCCGCCAGTGTTGTCATTAATCAGATGGAATCTTTTGAAGCAATGATAAGGAATCGTTTGAGATGCTTTCTAAAATGATGCAGGAAACTTTTCTCTGTTAGGGCACAAAATGCATTTTATTTAGTAATATATGAATGCAAGCTATTTAAATAAATATTTGAAAATCATGAGAGACAAAATTGAGATTATCTAAGGGATTTTTTAAAAATTAGAATTATTTAGACTTTCAGGCCAATAGAATTTTTTCTGCTTCCATGAAGGCTATTGATCCTGAGATTGCTGTACAAATCTGTTAAAAATAATAAACATCTCATGCAACATTCAGGTTTCTATTTATGTGTGCTTACCTGACAAGGTGGAAAATTAGTTTCTTTAATTACAAACTGTTACAACATTGGGACATTGGTCATTTTATTTCTCTATGCCTTTAAAAAAATTCTATATTTTTTCATGTAAGACATTCTTATTAAACACTTTACTCCAGTTGAAAAGAAAAGGAAGGAAACTAAGAGCTAGAATTTGGTGGAGGGGCCTAAATAAGTATGTGTCAGGGTTAATGTGATGAAATAGGAAATACTGAAATATTCATTGTTCACTTCAGAATACACTAACACCTTGCCCTAAGAGCACAGTTTCTAAATTAAATATGTTCCTGATTTCCCATATTTTTTGGATTTCAAGTGGGACACTAATTAACCACTACCTTATGGTTAAGGACAACCGGGAAAGACAACTTGATTTATTGAATAAATAGCTATCTTTGAGAATTAGAATTAAAGCTAAGCATTTTATATATTTTTTCAGCTATTTCTAAATTTAATTCAGCAATTAGTTATTCTAATAATTACTTGGTGAAAAAAATTCAAGAACTTGCTATAGATTTTATATGATGTCTTCATTTTTGGCAGACAGTCTTTATTGCACGTCAGTGTGAACCCACCATTAAGACTTTATGTCTTCCTGTATAAGTAGATGGAGTTAGTAATCCCGAATCTGTACTCCCCCTCTTAAGGCATTTACTGCAACAGAACCTGGGACGGATGGCTGTGCTGGAACGATGTTGCCGCGGGAACCGAATCAATGCAGCACTGCCCCGATTACTTTCAGGATTTTGATCCCTCAGGTAAAAGTAGAATTTGTATGCAAATTTCCTTGACATCTATTTAATAAACCCTAGCTTAACCAAATTACTGTTTTCTTTTTTCTTTTTTCACATTAAAGAAAAAGTTACAAAGATCTGTGACCAAGATGGAAACTGGTTTCGACATCCAGAAAGCAATAGAACATGGACAAATTATACCCGGTGTAATGTTAACACACACGAGAAAGTGAGGGTACGTGATAATTATAAAGTGAAATTTAATTTACACTATCTCTTTAAAAAGTTAGTTACTGATACGGTATTGGAGAAAATTTAGCTAGTGTTCCATTCCATTGAAAGGCTTTTCCTAATATACTTTGAGAAAACAATGAAGAAAAACATCTTTGTAGAAATAATTATTATTGATTCTGTCATTCACTGAGGAAGCAATGCTGCTAGGTAATAAAGTATTTACAAGTCAATGTCTCAGTATTGGGGTTTCAAATTTCCCAAAGAAAACATACTTTAAAAGGGTAAGAATGGAGAAAATTTTCCTTTGTGGTGGAATTTCTAGAATTACATTCAAGAATTGTGCTCAAGTAAACATGATAAGCCCAGCAGGGTTTAAACAGTTTCTCTGTCCCTCAGCAGAAGGCTTTCATTCTGATTGGCTGTTAGGTCCCTCTAACTCCCATTCCCACTTTTAACGCCATACACTGAAGTCAAGGTTAGTCAAAGTTTCTCACAACCATAAAGCTTTGATAGAAAGTGCCTGCATATGTTTGCACGTGTGTGCAGATAGAGGCAGGTTCTCACAGTGATTAAAACTGAATCCTGATATCTGACTTTCTCTTCCTGCCCCTTACCAGCTCTGTGACTTCGGGTAAGCCACGACCTCTCTCTACCTCAGTCCCCTCAGATATAAAATGAGGATAACAGTAAATCCATCCTCAGGGTTTCTTTTTTTTTCATAAGGACTGAGTTAATAGAAGGAAAATGCTTAGAAACCAACAAGCATGTAGTAAGCATTTGATAACTGTCAGCTATCATTATAATCATAAATCATGTATTCTTTGCTTATTCAGAGAAGAGTTTGAAGAGAATTATAAAAATACACAATAAAAGGTAAGTTACAAATAAGTAGAATATGGACAAATAAAAATCAAAGAGAAAAAGTCAAAAGTAGGAGAAATTTAGTTCATATTTGTACAGACCAGACGCTCCCATAAATCACTACATTCAGATTTGTCTTAGAGTCTCAAATTTGTCAAAGGAAAAAAAAACCCATTTGGGAAAGAAAGCCTTATCTGGTATTTAACTCTAAACAAACAAACAAAATCATCAAATAGTATTTGATTTAAGATGCACAAAGTGATACAGTGAAAATTGTCAATATCCTCCAGAATATAAAATGCTGATTTCATATATTATACAACCTAGATCAATAAAATTATTCCTTCATATATTTAATAAACAACTTCTAATTTCTTAAATAAAAAGGGCTTACAACTTATAAATTTTGATGTTACTTGATAAATTTCCATAGATGTTCTTCATTCCAGATGTATTAATTGGTTTACAAGCTAACTGGTAATGCTATCAGATCACATATTTTTTAAAACATAATTTATTCTATTAATTTGAGCTTATACACATGTTGGATTATAGTATTGATATAAGCCATTTTTTTTTTACATACAAATTTTAGACTGCACTGAATTTGTCCTACTTGACCTTAATTGGACATGGATTATCTATTGCATCACTGATTATCTCGCTTGGCATATTCTTTTATTTCAAGTAAGTACATGTAAAATATTTTTTTAATTTACCAATTGTCTTTGGTGAATGCAGTGTCACAATCATGTTTATGTCATAGGCTGATAAAATATATGAAATATTGATGATGATTTATAATGTTTAAAATAATCGAAATAATTTGAAATACCTTGAACTTATCTTGGCTTTGTAAAATATAGAGAGAGGAGGTCGATGAAATATCTGAAGTCCAACTTTACAAAATTAGTAGACATACAAGAATGAAATCATACAGTAAGATGGGAGCCAAAATCAATATGTAAACCTATCTGTATTTCCTTTGGAAACTGTCAAATATCATAGCCCTTCTTACTTGAATTTTCAACTTCTTGGTCAATTTTGCTATCAGTATACATGGTACATTATAGGAACTAGTATTTTGTGTGAATAACAACAATGGCATTTATTACATATTATTACAAATAATAATCCCAATATATTATGGTTAGGTTATTTTTTTCTCGTTTGAGGGGATCATCATTAAAATGGTTAAATTATACGTCGAATTTTACTTGAAATTTACTCCTTTTTGTGAGGAGGGAGAGTCAGCTCTAATTTCTTCTTCTTCTTCTTTTTTTTTTTTGTGAGGAAAATCAGCCCTGAGCTAACATCCATGCTAATCCTCCTCTTTTTGCTGAGGAAGACCAGCTCTGAGCTAACATCTATTGCCAGTTCTCCTCCTTTTTTTCCCCAAAGCCCCTGTAGATAGTTGTATGTCATAGTTGCACATCCTTCTAGCTGTTGTATGTGGGACGCAGCCTCAGCATGGCGGGAGAAGTGGTGCATCAGTGTGTGCCCGGGGCCCGAGCCTGGGCCACCAGTAGCGGAGTGTACGCACCCAACCACCAAGCCACGGGGCCAGCCCATCTAATTTCTTGATTCAACCAATCATCAACAAGTGATTTTTTAAATTATAGGAAAGTAAATTCCAAAACACACATATGTTATTTTATGCATTAACATGGTTTTCAGAATCTTAATCACCATCAGGAATTCTAGAATGCAGTGTGAAGAGTGAGTAGCTATCTTTCATTGTTTCTTCATCACCATATTCAATGTCTTCCTCTTCCTCTTCCTCTTCCTCTTCCTCTTATTCTTCTTCTTCAACAACCATCTTGGATCATTAGCAGCTTCAGAACCAGCTAGAGTAGTAGCACATCAAAATAATCCAAATCTAGAAATTATCAGACAGCTGGATGTTATGCACATGTGTAAGTGGAGCACCAGCTTTTAGCCCATAGCACATCAAATATTCAGAGTACATCGAATAATACCCAAACCAACCAACTGTTATCTCTTATGGGTTCAAAATCATGGGATCTAGAGATTGCATCAGAATTACAGTTTCTGGAAACTTGCAGCTTCTTAAGAATCTTCAATATCAGTTACTTGGCGGGATCCATACGGATACATTTTAATGGCACTTTTGATTTATGACATTATCTAGGCACCGTTAGAAACTGATTTTAAAAACTCCACTCTGAACAAAGCTAGTTAAACATTTGTGTACATTTTAAAATGTGACATATTTTCTTTAGTAAATTGTGTAAAAAATGTATCAAAATAAGTTGAAAAGAATTTTTATCCTAAAATATGGAAAACGTTTCTTAAAGAATTAAATTTACCGTACTATGTTTTGCAATACATTACCAAAAGGTTCTTGCTCAAAACTAACTTCCAGTTCTCAGTTATAAACTAACTGATATGTCATATCAGTTACTTATATACAGCTTATTAAAACTTTGTCTTTACTCTTGAATATACTCTTAGTTTATACAAGATGTTTGAAATTAATACTATCTTTGGAGTAGGAAAAACTTTATTCTGATTGTCTAATAGATTAAAAATATCTGTTCTGGGAGCCAGCCCAGTGGTATAGTGGTTAGGTTTGCCTGCTCTGCTTCGGTGGCCCAGGGTTCCCGGGTTGGTATCCTGGGCACGGACCTACACACCACTTGTAGAGCCACGCCGTGGCAGCATCCCCTATGCAAAGTGGAGGAGGATGGGCACAGATGTTAGCTCAGGGCTAATTAATCTTCCTTGGCAAAAGGAGGGACATTGGCAATGGATGTCAGCTCATGACCAATCTCCTTCACCAAAAACAAAACAAAACAAAATACATCCTGAAAAATGGAAAATAAACAATTTTCCAAAGTGACAATTTTTAAATAAAGTCCTCAGGTCCACAGTGGTATATTATTTATGCTAATTGACAAAGTGAAACAATGTTGCTGATGCTAACACACATTGGTAAAATATGGCAATAAAACTAGGTTACTATTTAATTTAGTGAATTTAAAAACACAAAATGAAATTCGAAATTCTCATTTAGTATAAGGAAAGGACCAAACAGTTTAAGAAAGAAATAATTCATTATTTTTCTTTATTCTTGTAAACAAAATCTTTACAATTTAAAAATACAAAGTACCTAATTTGAAAATATGACTCTCTTGGTTCTTGGAACTAAATGATGCAACCAATCGCCCTAAAATCTATGCAGTACTCTAGAACTCAGATTTTTAGTTCACGAAAATTACGTTTCTACCACACATATAAACAAACCCACAGAAAGAATTAATTTAAGTGTAACTAATACTAACTAAGATTCTTTTTTTAACGTGATGACTCTTACGACTATGACTTAGTATAAAGTAGATCAGTCTCTACCGTAACAGCATAAAATAGAAATCATAAGAGTTATTTAAAATTCTCTTACAAATCTTGGAAAAAAGTTATAAGTTTTAAATATTTCTAACTTCAGGAAGAAGAATGCAATCCTTAATTTAAAACAAACAATAATATTGAGGAACGAGACTTGCACTTAAATTTGAAACATTTTTTAAAAATTGAAAACAATTTAAGCACATTATTAATTTTTAAATAAAGAAAAGAAAAATATACACTGTAATTCTAACATCCTATTGATCAATATTTTGTATTTTCCTAGTTTTATTTCATTTTCATTTGTTTTTACAGTTTTAAGTGTAATGTACAAATTATTTAAACTATTTTTATAACTTAGCATTATATAATTTTTTCCATGTCACCAAAGAGTTTTAAAAACAACCACTTAATTGACTAAATAATATTCCACTTAATAAGTTGACAAAAGTTTATTAAATCATTCCTCTATTTTTGAACATTGTTTCTTTTAACTTTTCCTATTAACAAAAAACACTGCAATGGACATTTTCATCCATGACTTTTTGCATGTTTTGCACTATTTTTTAGGCTACATTCCCAGAGACATGGCATTTCTTGGTCAAAGGGTATACCTCTTTTTATGACTCTTGAAATACATCATCTCAAAGGTATCTCCAACATGTTCAAAACAAATTCACAGTATCTACCTCCTCCTAACCCAAAGCAGTTTTTCTTCCAGACCCATCTTTGCAAATACCACTACCAGCAATCTAGTTGCATCAGCCAGAAATTTAGGAGCAATCTGTGACGGCTTCTCAATTTTCTTCCCTTTCGTTCTTTCCTCATACTCTGTGGATCTAACCTCCTAAGAGCCCTCCAGTCTATCCAGTTTGTTTCCTCTCTACTGCCACCGCCACCAACCGTGTCTTATCCAGCCTCAGTAAAACCACTTTCACCATCTTTATTCAATTCTAAACAACGTAGCCAGAATATTTTCAAAGATTTAGATCAAAATTTTCAAAGATTTAGATCAAATATAGATGTGATTTTGTCATCCTTCACTTTAAAAATTTTAGACTTCCTATTGTAACTTATAGAAAGTCAAAGCCATTAACGTTCCTATAATTGAATATTCTGCCTATTCTCTCCCCCCTCCTCTAGCCTAGTTAGATGTATTCATCTTTCAGATCTAAACTTTAGCATACTTTTCTCAGTGAAATCTTCCTAAATTCCTTATCGTAGTATTTCTAAAACTGCAACTGGATGCGGTGGACATGGAGTAAATTTTTAATTACCATTTAGGAGATAATCATCTCTGCAGATTTAAAACTAATATAGCTGAGACCCTTCAGATTAAACGATCTCTTTTTTTTTTCTTTTTTGTGAGATCAGCCCTGTGCTAACATCTGCCAATCCTCCTCTTTTTTTTTTGCTGAGGAAGACAGGCCCTGGGCTAACATGCGTGCCCATCTTCCTCCACTTTATATGGGATGCCGCCACAGCATGGCTTGCCAAGCAGTGCGTCGGTGCTTGCCCAGGATCCGAACCGGCAAAGCCCGGGCCGCCGCAGTGGAGCGCGCACACTTAACTGCTTGCGCCACGGGGCCGGCCCCTAAACGATCTCTTTTTATTTTACATGTAATAAGCCAAAATATTCAAACATTAAATTTCTGAAGAACATGAAATTAAGAAGTATAGCAGTTATATTGCATGCCAAAATCAGTAGTCAAAAAGAGAACAGGTCTCCTATAATTCCAAGCCCTATGGCCCCAGACAAGTTTGAAGTTAGCTTCTTACACTATATAAATAAAATCCTACACTAATTCCATAAAGTCAAATGCAAAATTAACACAGCTTCTTCATGAAAGAGCCTGTGATTTAATTGAACAAATGCTTGCTGTGAACTAATGAGGCAGTGGGGACTGTCAAGTGAAAACAATGCTACAAGCCAGACTATACCAATAAATGTAAAGTATCCAATTCCAAATCTCTAATCAGTCCAGTCATTTACTCTGTCCACGCTGGACTGACTTGGTAAGAGGAAAAGAAGATGTCATAAGAATTGTCTTATCAGGACAGTGAAGAAATTGAAGAAACTAATGTCCGCTGGTCAGAGAGTAAAGGTACCAAGAATGTTAAGCCAGAAAAAGACAAAATATAGGGGGCATGATAGATGACTTCAAGAATCCAAATGACTATAACTGGGAATAGAGTTTGCATAATAACAAAGAAAAAATATTTGTCTCAATTAAAAAAAATAAAAAACTCTATCAGCTAAACAAAATAGAATGAACTGCCAAGTGACCAATTGACCCTCCTGTCACTCAAGATTTTCAGAC